TAAAGATAGTCGAACGACGGAAGGCTCCTCTGATTCCAACCCTCTCTTTCTACCTTTTGAGCATGTCGACGCTTTCCGAGAGCTTTTGTGGGCGCTATATGCACCGTGAGTACTTTCCGCGCCGCCTCAAAGTATCGTGGATCCTTAGTACGGCGACCTCTTCCCCACAGTCCACGCGAGCTTGCGGTAATCAGTAGGCCAGGCTCAGCCAACGTTGGCAAGTTGATGGACGTCGCTCTTGTTGCCAATAAATACGCGTATAGGACGCTCGAAACGTGGGCGTTGGACGCGCTAGCAGAGTATATCAAGGTGCGCCCTGTTGGAACGGAGGCACCACTCCTGCAAGGCTCCGACGCGGAAAAAATGAGTCTCGTAAAGCGTTTGATACAACTAGCGCAACGCTGTAACCACCGTGAACTCATCATTCGCACAACCGACGTGCTTCGAACCCAGTGGCGTATTTCTTTCAAGTACGCATACTACGCTATGATTCTTGCAGACGATTGCGATGTTCGTTCCCTCAAAGGCGAGGTCTACTTCGAAGTACTGCAGCGTCTCGTCTACGATCTCCCGACCTTCAAGAAGGCGATGTTGATTCAAGCGGCCGTCTTCTTATCAGCTCCGCACAGCAGGTCAGACTGCTGGCAGGATACTATCGTCTCGCGCAGATGTCACTGGGGTATCTTGCTCTTCCAACGGAGTTCTCCCAGCTTGAATGCTGCCAAGGAGCCTGTGAACCCAAGTGGGAAAAGGTCTGGGGGAAAGCGATGGGCACTCTGATCGAAGTTGAACAAGCAAATGTGATTGCTAGACTACAACAGATGTGGGCCGCGTGCCACACGGTTTCATACGCGGTAGTCAACCCTGCGGACAGGCTCAGCTACCGATGCTCTCAAGCTGGTTGCGACGTTTTGGCAGCCATGGCCCAGTCAATCAAAGACAAACTGGGAGATGTGTTTTCCGATGACATTGAATAGGGCGAACCTTACTCTTTTCATTCGCCAAGAGCGCGGCTGGGCGTCAGCGATTATTATATCGCGCTCTAGGGAAATAACCCATACTTTATCATCATATGCTTCCTCTAATCAAGGACAACATACAGTAGTTGAACATGTGTCCGTTGTGCAAATAGAACTTGGTCAAACGTCATTCAGCCATCCTGAGAATAACGACGAGGTAAGTATTAACATGGGAATGTAGACAAGACAGGCGATCGGAGTAATGTCCGTAATCCGTAACCAGAAGCTTCAATACAGGTCAAGAGAGATGGAGTTAAGTCGTGCCCGCAACCTCGAACGTGCCCAAGTTGGTAAATCGGTAGTTACCGTTACCGATGAGTGAACATGGTACTGGTAGTACACCAGGCTACTAATCCACGAGTGCTGTACACTGTTTTATGGCAATAGGCCACAGTCTTCACTAGGCAGATAAAAAATTGAGGAAGCTTCTCAGGAGAAGAACGATATCCGGTAGGACAAGAGACGCGTTTGTTTCCCCGAGGTATTCCGGGGTAGCAGTCAAGCCTGGGAGTTATTTGGAGTGTTATGTCCGATAGGGGTAAGCTAAAGGCTCGCGGGAGAAGATAGAAGGACGAGAAGTCAGGGAACGAGGGAATTTTCAAGATATCTGGGACCTGTAGCACACGAACAATTGAACATTTAACCCACCGCTGCGGCCTCATGATTAACTGGCGTCAAGAAAGAAGACCTTCGACAAACCCCATTAGAATCGAAGCCAAGAATAGCGCGTCGTAGACATGGCCTGGTTCAATCTATGAAATGCATTGGGTCAAAGCGGGAGAGATGGCAAGACCCGAAAGGCTCGATCGTGATGTCACGCGCGTCCAACTTTGCTTCTACCCATCATGTCAAGTTCGCGCTTTCACAAACTCCCGCCTTCAAAATACTCGCACAAAGTTCTCAAAGAGAGCAATGTGCATGAAGCTGCTAAATACATCAAATCCAAGGACTGTCGAAATATAATTGTTATGGTAAGTATCTGCTCTTATCAATTACTGAACGCTATTCAATCTTCATTTCTAGTTGGGCGCTGGTCGGTCTTCAGCCTTTCACTCCAAGCATCTTTGATTGAATGCTAGGTGTGAGCACATCTGCTGGTATACCCGACTTTCGCTCTCCCGAAACAGGTGAGTCATAGCAGCAATTTCATCCGACTGTAGCTGAGTGAACAGCGGCAAGGGCTATATGTATGACCCGAACGAGGCTCTACGACGCTTGACTGACATCTACCCTAGGCCAACCTCGCGCGATTGCGCCTACCGTACCCAGAAGCCGTCTTCGAGATCGATTTCTTCCGTAAGAATCCCCTCCCATGTAAGCTGCTTATCATCCTCCATCATTGAGATTGCCAGGCTGAACGTATTCGCAGTTTACACTCTCGCCCAAGAGCTCTATCCAGGTCAATTTCGGCCGACGATCACGCATTCCTTCCTTAAGCTGTTGTTTTCACATAACCTTCTATACCGGTGCTTTACGCAGAACATCGATACGCTTGAAATCCGCGCGGGCGTACCGGCATATAAGATCATACATGCCCATGGGAGCTTTGCGTCGCAACGGTGCATCGACTGCGGCCAGCCGTACGATAGTGAGAAGATGAAGGATCACATTATGAGGAAAGAGATCGCGCATTGCGAAAAGTGCAGAGGCCTCGTCAAGCCGGATATTGTCTTTTTCGGTGAAAATGTAAGGTCTTCCCCGTCAATGTTATCGACGTCTATCTGACAGTTCCTCTTCAGCTACCGGAAGAGTTCATTAAAGCGGTCCCCAACGTTGGTCTAGCCGACCTCCTGATCATCATCGGTACTTCTTTGACCGTTCACCCATTTGCCTCCCTCGCTGGAATGGCGAGTCCATTATGTCCGCGAGTCCTCATCAATCTCGAGAAAGTCGGGGATCTAGGGCATCGGCCAGATGATGTGCTGCTTTTGGGAAAGTGCGACGACATGGTGAGAGAGTTGGCGAGGGAGCTTGGGTGGGACGCAGAGCTGGAGAAACTGTGGGAAGCGACAAGGATGCCACGAGTCGAAGACGACGCTGCAGAGGAAGAGAAGGAGGAATCGAAAGCGGAGGAAGCACCGGAGGAGTCGAAGAAAGAGAAAGAGGAAGGGGTGGTCAAAGAGAAGGCGTTGGAAGACAAGGTGGACGACTTGGCAGAGAAGATTGCGAAGGACATGTCGTTGACGGAGGATGCTCCAACGGAGCCGGCACGGACTGAGAGACCAGCAACAATCGAAGTCGTCCAAGGCGAAAAGTTACCAGACGAGCTTGTAAAACAACCCGCTTGCGATAAGGACGAGAAGGAAAAGCTGTAGTAGAGAAGCACCCGTTTCATGGTTTTCTTTCTGTCATCCACCGGGACATTTGAATGCGTAGGTTGTATGTTCTAGCTTCTGTAACTGTGCTGAAGACCCGTAAATGTTCGTGCCGGTTTTGCACTAGTACCGGCTCATTCATGCTGAGTTTGGTTTTAATTATGTGATGGCCGACTTTTCCGGGCGCAAACAATTGTGTCATATTCATTGCAGACGTGAGTAACGGTGTGGGTTGATAATTGCAGTTCCTCCAACTTGAAGAACTATGGCTCGCATTTGCAGGTGTGTTCCGAATTGCGCCACAGTCGTGAGTCGTATGCCGTAATGCCCAGGAAATTCACCGCTTCCCACGTAGACTGAACCTATGTTCTTTCCGGCGTATTACTGTGCCTCTCCCTTGGTCGGACTAAACACTTCGTTACACTTGTGACCTGTACACGAATGTTTCGCTTCGTAGTTTGTGTGGCACGAACCACATAACCTCTACGAATATCTTAACGCCTAAGATGTCTTCCGGATTCAATTGGCGTTCGACGGTCGTCTCCTCTTTACATCCTGCTTTGGTGATCCCTCAAGCTCCGGCTATAAACGATCGACTCGTCGAGTGTTACCTCAAACTGGGTCACATATTGTTCTCAAGCAAGTTCGACCAATTTCTCATTCTAGTGGTGGTGCCACAAGCTACTGAAGCGGACAGAATACAGGTAAAAATGTTGTGAGCACTGGGCGCCTGCTCATTGGGAAGACGACATGGAGTTAATTTTTTAAACGTAGTATCCCCATCCGTTATCGGGGAGTCACGACTGGACTCAGTGCTGGCGCTGGAGGAGATGGAGGGGAGGGGGAGCTGCCCCGGATGCTGGTCATCAGCGGGCACTGCTGGGTGATAATTGTCCACGCCAACTATACAGTTGTGCGGGAGTAGCCTGAGGACCTCCGCGGGAGTGAAGGGTCCGCCAACTCGCAGACCTTCAAGCGGCTCGCGAGACAGATGAACGGTACGTTCATCGTCGATACGATAGTACAGTGGTTGTTTTGTCAATTTGTATCCCAGGTCGTCCACAAAGTGGGTGAGCAGGAACGCAATGATGTGGTCCTCTCTGGGAGGCGGCGCCTCGAAGAGTAAATGCCAGCACGGCGGGCCGGTGGGGATGGCGCTTATGGGGGGCCATTTGATGTTTTCCAAAATGTCCATGATGAGAGCTGGTGGCAAAAAAGACTACCGCGTCATTTGAGGTCCAGAGAATAAATAAGCGCTCGGCCCGTTGAGGGCGCTAACGTCGGATCTCATCTGTTGGGTTATTGAAATGATGCGAAGTCCTTACCACCATCCTGACATTCCCAGAAGCTTCGGAGGAAGTCAATCGGACATGCCCTCAGAGGTTACACCTTCAACTTACTACGTACCGAAATGTAAGTTTTGGCGAAGTCTGTTCTACTAGTACACCACTCGTACGCTTGCCTCATAGTCGGCATTGGTGGCCATGTGCTATTCAATTCGTCTTGGGGGGCTAGCATAGAAGACAAAACTCAATTGCCACCGTTCTGAAATTTACAGCAACTAGCAAACTACTGCAGTCACCAGTGCCACACATGCAACCAACATGTCCATTGTCAGACTCACACTACAACAATCAAAAACTTCCCAAATTCAAAAAGCTATACTTTCGGATACGGGGAATCGAACCCCGAGCTGCCGCGACCAGCCTACGCTGTCTGAGAGGCGGCAATGTTAGCCGTTACACCATATCCGATGACTACGCTTTACCTTCACAGCAACTGATCGATAGCCGCCTTCCTTCATTTTAAATTAAGCCGTGGAACGCGTGAACTGCTTACTTCCGACTTCCATGTTACCTGTCTCGTTGACCGTGGCGGCGGTCGTCCTCTTCAATACTGGCGCCGGGATTGCCTCTGCTGCCGATGGAATACGCGTGCTGGGTCCACAAGGCGTCAATCTGTGGCAACTGGAGCACGGGGCACCGAAATCCAAGGTTGTCTTCCAAGACTACCAGACCCAAGACGGGTTCCGAAATGAAGAATTTCCCGTGAATTGGTTCGAGCAGCCGCTGGATCATTTCGACGACGGCATAACGGACACCTTCCAGCAGCGCTACTGGGTAAATACGCGGCATTACAAGCCTGGCACTGGCGGACCGGTTATTGTTCTTGACGGTGGCGAGACCAGTGGAGAGGTGCGTCCATCATCTGCCGGACATCCTCGGACTGAATTCTCAGAACCGACTCCCATTCTTGGACACTGGCATCGTCGAAATCCTGGCGCGTGCGACTGGTGGCCTTGGTGTTGTCCTCGAGCACCGCTATTATGGTGCGTTCTCACGGATTGCGTAAATTTCTGGCTAACATTCGTAAAGGAGAGTCAATTGCCGTAAAGAACTTAACTACAGACTCCCTTCGGTATATCATCTATTATCACGTCTTCATATAACTGACTGTATCTAGATTTTTGAATAACGACCAAGCCGCGGCGGACAGCGCCAACTTCATGTCTAACATCAAATTCTCCGGTATCGACGAGGACCTAACGGCTCCAGGAACGCCATGGATATACTATGGTGGTTCATATGCGGGAGCGCGTGCAGCGCATATGAAGATACTCTATCCCGACTTGGTCTTCGGAGCCATCTCCTCCAGTGGTACTTCTACATGATTTCCCCCCGTTATCACCGTGTTCACTTCTTTTAGGTGTTACTCACGCAACGATTGTTTACTGGGAATACTTTGACCTAATTCGACAGGTCGCGGAATCCAAGTGCTCGCGCCATATTCAGAAATCTATCGCTACCGTCGACAGACTTCTTTCCAATCGCCGCCTCGCGCGCCCGCTCAAAGCCCTGTTTGGCTTAGCCGACCTCGAACACAACGATGACTTTGCGTCTATCCTCGAAGTTTGTCTCTGAATCTTGCTCAGAGTGTCGCTGATTTCTCCCTATGCAGACTCCTTTGGGATACTGGCAAGCGAAATGTTGGGACCCCGCATTTGGAAGCACTGGATTTGATGACTTTTGCGAATCCCTCAGCAAGCCTCCCTTCGGACTTGGACTCGTGGAAGGGACCGCAGGTTTTGAATATGAACATCCAACGCGGATGGTTTCGTTACCTGGTGGCCTGACCGTCGACTTTGCAGTCCTCAATTACGCGAAATGGATCAAAGAGGTCAGTATTCTCCGCGTGCTAGAGGAAGCAGACTGACAGTGTTTAGAATGTCGTCTCATCCTGTCCTGAGGATTCTACTATCGAAGAGGTAATCCGTCTTTCTCGTTTGGTTATTCTTGGCTAATTCACGCTGCAAGTGTTTCGGTACTTACGATGATAGCAAGTACACAAACACCTCTCTCGATCAAGAATGGCGTCTCTGGATGTTCCAAGTGTGCACGCAATGGGGCTATTTCATGACAGCTCCTCCGGACCCGACGTATCCGTCTATTGTGTCGCAGTACATAACACTGGCTTATGAGTCGAAGCTCTGTAAACAGGTAGGTCGCGTCGTTGATATTTCTCGTAGATTTCTAATCGGTTGACATAGGCGTATCCTCCTGGCGACTTCTTCAAGGTTCCAGCGATGCCGAACGTGACTGCGGTGAATGTTCTGGGCGACTTTGATATTGCAGCTGACAGGCTCGCGATTATCGACGGAGAAGGTGTCTTCAGTTCAAAGCCGATTCAAATAAGCATCTGATCATGATGCTAGTCGATCCCTGGAGGCCAGCTACGCCCCACAGCGATTATGCCAAAGATCGCGAGGATACCATTGTACGGCCATTCAAGCTCATCCCAGGTATGCTATGTTTTTACATCTATTTCGTAAATACGCGTTAACAGTCCCGTAGATGCTGTTCACCACTACGATGAGTGGGGATATAAGAACCTGGCTGATGAGCCGGAGGAGATACGCCAGATCCACGGGGAGATGATCTTGTTCGTTTTGGAATGGCTGAAGGATTGGACACCGCCCAAGAAGGGGTAGGACTGATGACTCGAGACCTCGAGCGCGTAGCGTAGGATCTACACGATGTTGAGGAATGATAATATACCTATGAATGTATGTATGCCAGCTTAGTATTGGTGAATGTCTTTCGCCAGTCTTTGGCACTCTTTTTAGCGCTTAGTATTTATTCATCTCGGTACCCAATAAATCATTTTCTTATCTTCATCTCCGACCGTTTCAAGAAGTTATCATCACATAAAGCCTTTTTCCAGATGAAGCACGGCCCATCGATCCAGAGACCAGTCATTTACCCATCGATGTGATTTATGGGTCATAAGAGTGGGAACGTGGAATGGGTATGTTCCATGAGGCCTGAGCGGCTCAACGTTGGGTGCTTTCCATCACTTATCTAACTGTTGGAGGCGTAGAACTCGTGCTAAGCGCCTTTTCCTTTGTCCCAGCTCTCATCATGGACACTTTGGAAAACATCAAATGGCCCCCCATAAGCGCCATCCCCACCGGCCCGCCGTGCTGGCATTTACTCTTCGAGGCCCCGCCCATGACAAGGGAGCACGTCTATGTGTTCCTGCTCACCCACTTTGTGGATGACCTGGGATACAAATTGAAAGAACAGCCACTGTACTGTATGTCTCGCTTATGTTATATGTACACGCGTAGCACGGATGTTATAGGTACACAGGCTCCGAATGTACACCTTGTCTGAAGACCACCATCATGTCTGCGCGGCTAGCCGAGTCTGCATACCTACAGTACTATCGTATCGACGATGAACGTACCGTTCATCTCTCGCGAGCCGCTTGAAGGTCGGCGGGTTGGCGGACCCTTCACTCCCGCGGAGGTCCTCAGGCTACTCCCGCACAACTGTATAGTTGGTGTGGACAATTATCACCCAGCAGTCCCCGCTGATGACCAGCATCCGGGGCAGCTCGCCCCCTCCCTCCCTCTCCTCCAGCGCGAGCAGTGACTCCTCGACAACTGATGGGGAGACTACGTTTCGAAAGTCTTCGACTTGACTCTCTCTGTTCTCCTCTCAATGACCACGCGCCCAGTGAGGCCCGTAGCACTCACCACGTTTGTACTGCTATGTATCCCGTCTGCTACAGTAGCTTGTGGCACCGCCGCTAGAATGAGAAATTGGGGTGGTCCTCTGTGATTTGTGGGGTCATAAGAGTGGAACCTGAAATGAGTATGCTGCATGGCCATCTATCGCGACAGTCGGAAGTCTGGCAGGCCCTTTTCACCCTGCAACTCTCACATAAGCTTCTATCACCCAGTAGCCGGGGCAACCTTCCCCCTCGCCATCTTTGCGTAGAACTGGCCAGTTCACGATGAGAAGACATCAAGATCCGCAAGAATTCTACTCGGCTGTCTACCGAACCGACAGATATCGAAAAAGGAAAGGCTATGATATACAATATTTGATAGTCCAATTAAATCTGCCAGCAGACGAGGTATATGATATGCAGGTTTATACCAACTCTAGTGCCATACTTGTCGTGGAGGAGAAACGTGATATCGGGAGCGGAACAGAAACCACTACTGAGGCGCGCGGTGGCGCAGTCGGTGCGAGGGCACCCCCAACGTCATTGAGGGTTATTTGAGACATGGGCCGCGTCAAGTCGCGAGTGGAGTCGGTGCTCTTGTCGCTCAAGTGGCCGCGAAACATAGAAGACGAGATGGTGTCAAAAGAAATCTGACGAGGCTTTTCTCGTTTCACGAACAGCGGTAGTGTCCCCTGAGTCGCAGAAGTCGACTCCCTTCACTTCATCGTTAGACAATGCACACTCTTAATAGCCGAACGAACCAACCTTGTTGAAGACTGGAATGACGAGGCACCCAGTTTGGTCTTCGCCACCCCAAACAACTTCATATACCTCCTCCTCGCGTCCTGCGTCAGCCCAAACACGGCGAAGAACACCACCGCTGTAAACGGCATGAACCACCTCGTCAGCTCCAGCGCTGTCGCCGCAACCCCGCTTTGACGCCACAGAACCGCCGGAAACACATTCACTTGCTCAAACCCAAAGTGCGTGTCCTCCCAGCCGAGCCAGGGCGACAACAGACCGGGCTGGGCGTTCAGAAACAAAACGAGTGACGCGGTGGGCACGGTGAACGCAACGTCGACGCCGGCGATGGCCATCAGACGAAAGTACCGTCTCGAGTCGAGGTGGGTGCTGTGCGCGGAAAGGAGGGAGTTGAATTGGGCGCGGCGGTGTTTGAAGGCGCGGATGCTGAGCACTAAGACGTATGAGAAATGAGAAGAGAAGAAAGTGTTGTACGTACAGCAGTAGATGGCAGAAATGAGGCCGATGACGATGGCAGGCAGGTTGTATATGACGAGGGCGACCCAGGTATCGTAGATGACTGGATTGCAGCCGTAGTCTTCGTAGATGTCGAAGCGGTTGCCTTGGACAATGTAATCTGTCGTGTTTCGTTTGTTAGTAAGCCTTGCAGTGCACGTAAAAAGGCTTGCGTACCAGCTATCATGGAGAGAATCGGCACACCGAGACATAGAGATAGGTCGATTGATATCTCACGGCGGCGCTAAAGACGTTCGTGTCAATATCGTAAGAGGGTATAAGCTAGTAACTAAAACCATACATCGGTTCTCGTCTTATTCACTGTAGTCGAAGTTGCAATATGATAGAGGCGTCTGTTGATACAGAGCGAACATGCGGGGATGGCGGCTCCAAGAGCCATGATATAATGAACAGCTATCAAGAGTAAGCTCGGTGCATGACTGAGACAACAGAAACCTACAGATATCACACCAAACAGGCGCCA